AAGTAGCTTTCAATATTGCTATTATTATTGTTTTTAGTAGTGGTAGAGGAGTCGTAGTAGAAGTAGTAGCAGTAGTAGTAGTAGTCGTCGTCGTCGTCGTAGCGGTACTGGTAGTGGTGGTGGTGGTAGTAGTAGTAGTAGTAGTAGTAGTAGTAGTAGTAGTAGTAAAAGTAGAAGTAGACATAGAGGTAGAAGTAGAAGTAGTCGTCGTCCGTAGTAGTGGTAGCAGCAGCATACTCGCTGCGGACGACCCGATTCGGCGATGTCGCAATGCGCAGATCAGAGGCGGCTGATCAGCCGGGGCTCAGTGGCACACAGCCTCTGTGGGCTTTCCTGCAGCTTGCCCCGAGGGGGCCAAAAAGGTGAAGCACTCCTCAGTCGGTACACTAATATATAGCTTGCGTCGTCAAGTGTGGATGGGAGGACCGAGTCGGCGGGTTGGTCATCGTCGGTGTAGTGCCACGGTTGGGATGGAGAGTCAACATGGCTCGGACGGAGTGCTGCTCGATAATGCCCGCAGACCGTGGTTGGTCTTGGATGCTGGCTAGTCACATGAAGCCGAGAATTTCTCCAGATAATGCCCTTGGCAGACGATGAGGGGGACCATTGAGGAAGGAGGATGTCTGGGTCGGCTTTCATGTGATGGTCCAACTTACCCGCAATGCCCTAGTAGCAGCAGCAGTACCACCACCACCACCACCACCACCACGACGACGAGTACGACTGCGACTGCGACTGCTCAAGCGGTCGCCAAATTAAATCGGTAGTTTTTTGCATTTGGTTCGGTAAGTTTTTGTCCATTTGTTCGTTTTCACCTACTACTAGGAATAGGATACTAGTCGCAACACAACCAGTAGTATTAGCATTTGTAATATTACTATTGTTCTTACTCTTACCTTCACTAGTACTTTTCCTATTGCTATTGTTATTGCTATTGCAATATTGCTATAGCAATATTGCTATTGCTAGAGCCATATTGCTATTGCTAGTAATATTGCTTACTACTATTACAAGTACTATGACTATTACTGCTACTACTGCTACTGCTACTGCTACTGCTACTGCTACTGCTACTGCTACTACTACTACTACTACCACTGCTACCACTACTACTACTACTACTACTACTACTACTACTACTACTACTACTACTACTACTACTACTACTACTGGTCATACCGCGTACTACGGTGGATGGAGGAAATCTTGCACCACCTACACACAGTGCTTCGAATACGCATCCAAGCAACAACCCCGCGCCCCCTTTTTAACATTGACGACAGATCTCTTGGGGCGGTGCAAGATTTCTGTCATTGGAACGATTTTGCAAAACCCCATGTTCACAGCAATGTTAAGAAGGGGGCCAGGGGTGAAGCTACAAAACATATCTTAAAAGCGGTGCAAGATTTCCTCCATCCACGGTCCCCAGAGCGGGGTCTAGCCTTGGCCTGCTCGTGGCTTTCCTACATGGCTTGCGGATACTTCCAGTCAGAACGCTACATAGAAGTCACAGTTAACGTTCAGTTAACGTTACAGTTAACGTTACAGTTGACGATGCGAAAATGCTTGCAAGGACAGCATATTGGAGTTTTCAAGCATAAAAAGCAAGCCTTGAAAACTCCAAAATGCTGCCCCTGCCAGCATTTTCGCAACGTTAACTGGAACGTTAACTGAACGTTAACTGTATGTCAACTGCAAATTCCTACCAAATGTAGCAAGATTGTTGAATGGGCGTACCCGTGGCTCCATCCTCTGATGGCTGCAGGGAGGCTTGCTTCCCTCAGGGAGGCATGGACTCAGGTTCCTCTCACATTTTCGGGAGGCAGTTACATAGAAGTCACAGTCAACGTTCAGTTAGTTAGACGACGGTGGATCGAGGAAATCTTGCACCACCTACACACAGTGCTTCGAATACACATCCAAGCAACAACCGCGCGCCCCCTTTTTAACATTGACGACAGATCTCTTGGGGCGGTGCACGATTTTTGTCGTTGGAACGATTTTGCAAAACCCCATGTTCATAGCCATGTTAAGAAGGGGGCGAGGGGTGAAGCTACATAACATATCTTAAAAGCGGCGCAAGATTTCCTCCATCCACAGTAGTGGCAGTAGTAGTAGTAGTAGTAGTAGTAGTAGTAGTAGCAGCAGTAGCAGTAGCTGTAGTAGAATTAAAATGATTAAAGTAGCAATCAAAAGCAACCGTAAGAGCAAAAATCGTAAACATAAGCTCATGCAAATGATAGTAACAGTGATAACTAGACAGGCAAACATAATGACGTTAAAAGTATGTCAATAATACTAATAGCACATGGTAATAGCAACAAAAATAGAAATAAACACAAAAATGTAAGTAGTACTGATACCAGTAGCAGCTATGGTAATAACACCTGCAAGAGCAATACCAGCAGCAATTGTAATGATACTAGTAATACTGCGAGTAAGGGTAATAGTAGCACGGATAGTGATACTCTTACGGAAACTGATAATACTAGCAGTAGTACTACTTGTAGCAACAGCAGACCAGTAGTAGTAATAGTGATACAGTAGCATTAGTACTTGTAATAAGAAGAATAATCATAGTCATAGCCACTGTAACACTAGTAGTGATCGTCTCAGTACTAGCAATAGTAGTAGTAGTAGTAGTAGTAGTAGTAGTAGTAGTAGGAGTAGTAGTAGTAGGAGTAAGTGCAAGACTAAGACTAAAGGTAATTGCAAGAGTAAGAGCATGAGTAAGAGTGAGAGTAAGAGTACTAGTAAGAGCACGAGTCAAACTACTCTTACAATAGCAATGGTACTAGTACTAGCACCAGTACGAGTAAATAGTAGTAGTACTAGTAATAGCAAGGGCAATAACAACATTACTGGCAGCGCGAGAAATAGCAATCAAAAGGGAATGCTAACTGTACTAGTCACAGTACTGGCAATGGTAATACTAATGGTCCTCGCAAAAGTCAATGCAGCAGAAACAGTACCAGAAAGGTAACATTCATAGCAACAGCACTGGTAGTGGTGAAAGTAGTAGTTATCGTAATCGTCATAGTAGTAGTAGTAGTAGTAGCAGCAGCAGTAGTAGTAGTAGTAACATTTATGGTCATGTTTGCTTGCTTGCATCCTTTCCTGTATGTTTGCTTGTGTGAATACATGCTTGCTTGCTTGCTTGCTCGCTTTGCGTACTCTACTCCAGCTTAACCGCTTCCTTGTTTTTTCTGCTGGTTTTATTGTCTTGCTTGCTTGCTTGCTTGATGTTTCTGCTCGTTTTCTTATCTTGCTTGCTTGCTTGCTTCTGGCTAGCTTGATTTTCCTCACTTGCTGCTTACTTACATGCTTGCCTGCCTGTCTGCCTGCCTGCGGCTTGCCTACTCTGAGCTTATGGTCTTGCTTGCTTGCTTGCCTGCTCGCCTACTCTGCTTATTTTCTGGATTCCTTGCTTGCTTGCTTGCTTGCCTGCTTACCTGCTACCACGCACTGCCGGGAACAAATCGAAAAAAACTCCCGAACCAAATGGAAAAAGACTCCCGCAAGAATGGGGACACCCTCCTGCTCCTGCTCCTGCTTCGGCTGCTGTTTCTCCTGCTTGTGCTGCTGCTGCTGCTACTACGACCACCACACCAAAACTTCCACTACCAAAACTACTACCTTAGCGCCAACTACCTCCACGACCGGTACCACCACCACCACCACCACCACCACCACCACCACTACCTCTGCCACTTCCCCTGACCACTGCCAGTGCATGTCAGCTGACACTGTCACTACCCCCACCACCACCACCACCACCACCACCGCCACCGCCACCGCCACCGCTACCACTACCACCAACGCTACGAGGAGAACGACCTCCTCCTCTGCTGGTACTGATATTGGTGCCAGTACTGATAACGAGAACAACAGACAGCAACAACACTTCTAGTCCTAGTCTGTGTGTCAGCTGGCCTGCTTTGTAGCTGCGATGGAAGGGGCGCTGCTTCTGTGCACGCCTGAAGTAGCTCACTATTCACTAAGCTGGCCAGCAACATATTGATGGAATTGACAAGACTGACAATCTCATTGGCCAAGGCCGGCGCATGCGCGTGGCAGGGTCTTCTAGCAGCCCTGTGTCAAGCGCATAGCATACGGCAGAGCAGACAGTCTAGCCAAAAGCAGCAGGCCTCCCTCAACATGCTGCTCGCCCTCCCCCAGCTGTAGGAACGTGGCCTACTTCTAAAGGCCATGAACAGAGGACTCTGGAGCCGAAAGGAGCCAGAAATGCCTAGTCTTTGTGCACAGCCACTTGAGAAGCAAGCCAGATCAAGATCTTCTCTAAGCTCTTTTCCTTTTCGTCACTAGCCACTAGCCATAAACTTCTATGTCCTCTCCTCACCCCACTTGCGCCTAAAGAATGCAAAGGCTGCAGCTGAAAAGCACACTTTGGCGTTCCTCCACAAATTTACTGCTCTACGGCTCTACGGACGGCAAGGCTGTCCTTGGGCCTGGTTTTCAGCCCAATTGTCCACAGCGTTTCAATTTCGGAGCACATTTTTAGACGATTGATAAAAACAACTCGCTTTCTGGGGCACCTTGCCAGTACCCTTTAAGGGTGACACACCAATTACTCTGACCGCAGGAAAAGATGCGACGAGCACCGCTTGGTCAAAGCAGCCTTGGCTAAGGACGGGAGGATGCGACAGTGGTCTGAAGTACCCGACTTTACAAGCCACTCCTGACGAGATAAACTGTAGCAGTCCATCCAAGAGGCTTCGGGAAGGCATGACCAGCGACGGCACCGCCCCTCAACGACCTGATCGCTGCATTCCCGGTAATCCGAGGCACTTCCCAAGAGAGTGAGCTTGGTAAGCTATTAGTTAATTGGTAATTTACCCCAATCGTAGCAGACACATCACGACTTAAGCAACTGCACATCTGGCCTTTGCACCATGCGACCGAACTCGCTTCTGTTGTTCCGCAACACCTGCAACAAGATAACGGGTTCACCCCCTCTTGCTGTTGCTGAGATACGCTGACTATGTTGCCTCGGCTGCTTCATGGTTCAAGGGATCGCCTGGGTTGGGCTCCAAGAACAGGTACCTGGCACACGGAAGTGGCCGCAGTCACCCGTGTGAGCTGCAGATAGCTGCAGCACGACCGCTCTGTGAGCGCACAGAAGCCCATACACCACGGATGAGATGGATAACACCTGGTCGGCAGCGCGGACAAGCAAAAGAACACCGAATCCATGGAATGAGGTGGCCGCGTATATCCACGGCAGGTGGCTAGGGCAGCTCGTCTAGATCACTCTAGTCACTCCCCCGAGAACGTCATTGAATCGATTTTGGTCGTGCGTGTGGCCGCAAATCCTGAAGACCTAAACCCTAAAGCCCTGCGCAGCCTCACATCTTGTAGCCCAAACCAAATCCCTCAAGCATCCCTGACCCTGAACCCGAACCATAACCTTAATGTTCTGAATGCCCGAACTTGACTCAGCTCGGAACCTTAAACCCTATCTAGCATGCAACCCTAAACCGCTAGTCCATCAAATCTGAGACCGGAATGTAAACTGCACTAAACCCCGAACCCCCACTCCAAACCCCCAACACGGCCCTGACCTGTAACCAAGCCTTCATCCGGAAGCTAAACCCTGCAGAGGACGTTAAACCTCTTTGACACTGCACCAAAACCCTCCCTGAGCCCCCAAACCTTGCATGGACTCTAGACCCTCAACCCCAAACCTGCATCACTTTCCGCCCCGACTGCGCTCTTACATCCATCACTGCATTCGGGCACGTGTCAAGGTGGGGCCGCCTTACTTCCTCCTCAACGATCTGATCTCTGCAGTCTGAGTGAGTTTCCTTCGAGAGAAGACCCCTGAATCCGACGTATGCATCGGAACGCTGCCGGGCGCCCTTCTGCACACGTGACAAGGCCGCGGCTGGTTTCCAGTCTTCCCGCAGGATATTCAAGCAAACCTGAGCACATCGTACTTTGCCGTGGTGGTTGTGCACGCTCCCCAAGCCAACACTGTAAGTTCGTGGCGTTGCCCTGTAGGTCGATGTTGGGGTGGTAAATCTTTGTTTCACCTCGAGAAGATCGGCCAAGCAGCTGCAAGAATGGACTAGAATGGACTCGGATGGACTACTTGCTGAGGCTTTGGCACTTGACTTTGGGAGCCTGCGGCCATGTTTCTCGGGGCTTGCTTGGAACTGCCAAAGACGCAGCTGATCACGCAGGCCTCATGCGGATACAGCGGTGCAACATTGAAGACGAAGGTGTAACTCGCCCCTGCACCAGGATACCCTACCGCTTTGGATTCCAAGAGCTTCGCCACGAAATGCTTGCAACTTGCATCCAGGCCTTTCCAAAATCCCTCGTCTGGTGAGATCTGGATCTGGAAGTGCATCAGGTTGTTCTTGTCCGGAAAACTGAGCGTGGAGTACTACGATTCAACATGCACTCCTGCTTGAGAGCACATGGGTATAACTGCATATTTGAACACTGGTCTCCTTGCCGAAATCCACCTGTAAACCCTGAAGAAGCCCAGGCATCGTTTGGAATCCCAAGACCCCAACTTAATGTGGCACTGCGGTGGCAGCTCCATCTCATCCAACTCCTGGGAGTTGAGGTGATAAGGCTCACTGCGACTTTCGATAATCGAAGAGGAAAAATTGTGAGGCACGGCAGCTTTGTGTCCTTCTGCATTCGAATTTCTCCCGGTTGCTTCTTTTTCGTAGCAGGTGCCTAGCAAGAACTGTGAAAACTTTCTATCATCCAGGAGATCCGAACATGCGTTGCAGAGATGCCTCGGCATCATCCTCCTTTGATTCCTGGCCCATGTCCGAGTCTTCCGGTCTCCCGAAGAATGGATCCATGTAGCCAAACTTACAGCTCGAGTCCTCCGCACGCTTGCCGCGGCCCACGCCGAAGATCTTGATCATCGCCGGTCCTCAGGCAGATCAGCTTAAAGCATGTGCGAAGTCATGAATAAAAGTCAGGCTGAACGCACCTGCAAGGCAAGTCGCCGGATGTGGCTATACACTGCCTACAACCTAAACCCGTAAACACTCAACGCTGCAGTAAGCCGGGATCGACTCTCACGGTCGCAACATAATGCAGTTGGCATCATGTGGTTGCAGACTGAATATAGTGAAGACCCTGCACTGCCCCTCTTCGCTCTCGGCAGCTCCGACGAAATCGGTTTCTAGAGACCACGGACAGCCTTAAGGCACTGTCGCCCATGCTATTCTGGCACTCTTGAATAGCCCTGCGAGGCATTCCGGGGCGGCAGACCCTGCTGTACAGCTGCGAAAAGCACGGAACCCATCGCTTCTGGAATGGTTCGCCACGGCTGACATCAGCATTCGTGCACAGGCACGGGAACCTGCCAAGAACTGCCGTGACGACCACCAAGACGCACTGCGACTCCTATTTCTGTTCCTCCCCTCATCTCCGCTCCAGTGAAGATGCACCATGACATTGATCAGGAACCCACGTGCGCACTTGGCTTTCTGAATTCTACATCATAGAGGCTAGGTTTGGTGTTGAGGGTTGGGGGTCTCGAGATAAGCGTTAACTTTCGTCCGGCTAAGCGTCAGCACTGGAGGTCGCTACATGTGTGCCAGCAGCTACAGAGAAGACAGACAGAGTCAGCACCGACAAATCCACACTTTTCTACACCATCTTGTACTGCTTCTTGTCATCCGTCCTGGCCTTCTGCGGCCTCAGCTGCAGCCGCCTGGCCTGATACTTGGTGGCAAAATTTTGGGCTGGAGCAGCTTCTGTTAGTCGCAACTGCCATTGCGGCCGCTGTGTTGCAAAACCAGATTTACAAGCCCTCATGCCTGCCACCACAGCAACCATTGGTACGCCTCGTGACAACTCACTTCCCAATGCTGCCCTTCAGCGAAACATGGCGAGATCTGCTCGGCTCAGCTGCCTTTTCTTGATTTCGATCTGTTCGTTGATGCCTTCTAGGTCGTAGCCTTCGTTTCGTCAACCATGGGCTCACACAATCCAGTACTACCCACGGTGCCTTTCTCGTAGAGCTCCTTCTTGACGGGGTCTGTGAGCACTTCGTAGGCTTCTGAAATGATCTTGAACCTTGAGAAGCTCAGCTCTTGCAACATCAGAAGCAGAGGTGCTTTCTACATGACTTCCCTCACTGCAGCTCTTGCACGACAGCACGGGTCCCTCAATCAGAAGCCTCTCGATAATCCTCGGATGCAACACGTCTCCGTCTGCTATGGCTGCGGCATTTCTTCGGCATTCTTTCTGGCAGCCTGCGGGAGTGATCGATCACAATCATCTAAATTGCAACAATGTCGAACCAGCATCCCGCCTCATCTAGATGAGACTTCTTGTCGGGGTGCCATTCGGCAGCACGCTCTCTGTATGCCTCCAGCTGCACATACTCGCACAGACGCAGCAATGACCAAGTGGCACCGGCAATGCTCCCGTGCGAAAAAGAAGGCAAGCACAATGGCCTTCTTAATCTCAAGCTGTGAGGCCACAGAGGGGACTCCAAGCACTTCATAGTAGTTTTTTCGCTTGTGCTTCCTTGCAGAAGCAAGTTCTGTGATAAAGCCTGTCGCATGCCAGGCTGTTGGCAACACGAACGCGTCCTCAGCAAGAACTTCGCCTCTTCGAGCTTGTGGTAGACCTTGTCTCTGCAAAGCTGGAGGCTCTAGTCGTCTTCCGCACGGCGCAGCTAGCTGAGCTAAAGCTCCGGGTTGTCCGAGTCGGCAACACTTTCCACCGGATGCCAGGAAATGAGCGACTGCAATCAAAGCACAGCCGTCTTGGCTGACCAATCTTCCATCATCCATACAATTCTTAACGTATCCCTAAAAGTAAGTACAGTCAGGCTGGTCTTTCTCTCGTCTTGTCTTCACCAATCCGGGATCTGTCTCTGGTCAGATTTCAATACGCTTGGGATAAGATTGCAACAAATCCGGGATCGTCTCTGGAATTAGGCGGGCCTTGTTCGGGGTAGCAGCGGCGGCAGAATCTTGGGAAATGTTGGGTTAGTACTTGTAAGGGAGATGGTTCTGGCTTTTTTCAATGCTTTTCCTCCTGCATCGAAAAATGTAACGAATAGAAACCAACTTGCAGGAGCCAAGTTTGAGCAGTTGGCGTGATCAGTCATCCATTGTCACACATACAAGTGGCCTCTAACTCCTTCACAGCATCTTCATGTCTCTCCAGCGCCTGACGCAATGGGAAGAAATCATGTTTCGCTCACGTGCCATTTCCGCTGCCTCACGCATAGATACACGGCTAGCCTGCATTGCTTGGGCTCGGTAGAGATAAGGTTGCACAAGCCTGGTGCCGTCGCGAACCGGTTTGCCCCTTCTTCCACGGTAGCAGAGTGGCCCCTGAGGCCTTAATGAGCCTGAGGAGCAAGCGAATGATTTCGGTAGGTGGCCTGACCAACGTCTTTCAAGACCTGAGTCTTGTAGCACTCTTCGGGAAATGACTCGGATTTCCGAAACTTGGCCACAGACACCTCGCCAGTCCTTCAATCGCATACACGCTTTGGCACGCTCGCAGTAGAGCGCAGCCAGCATTACCTGTAGAAATCGCAACCGTCAGAAATATCATACTCAGGTCTAGAGTGAAACACATGTCAGTAGCAAACATGAACATGATTCCACATTGTCACCTGAACACCTTCCGCGGGTCTCCATTTGTGTGGCGCGAATTCAGAGCAATGCCCCGAGACCCAGGCAGGGCTGTCCGGACACAGTTCCAGCATGCCTGAATGACTCGAGCCGGTCCAGGCAAACCAGGCAAACAGCTTGCAGCTTGAAAATGCAAGCGAGAGGCCGTCGATGACCTGCTGGCCTTTCTCGAATTCACCTCAATCGACTTTTCACGTCTACCTTGTCGAAGCCGGTGCTCCATCCAAGAACTGAAGCTGCCGTCCAAAGCGCGACTATCCATCGACTCCTGTCTTTTGAAAGGAAGCGAACTTAGCGGCATGTCGGGAGGCATCTACGGGCCCACTCAACAGTCTGCAACTCCCCACGGAGCAATGCAACAGGAGTCCTCACGCCCGCATGAAATCGGCATCTCTCCCGTTATAGCTCCCTTCGTACGAATTGCACATGGACTGTACTCGTCTCTCTGCTCTTTCCATGGCATGGCGGGGGCCCATTTTTGGGGGAATTGCTGCGCCGGCAGTCCACCGCTGACCAGTTTAAGACAACCTTACCGGAGAATCCCACTGCGGACCATGCAGTAAAAGGGAAAGCCAAATCATGCCCACAGGCTGGTCGAGTGAGTCAATGGAGTCTGGACGACGACACGACGTGTAGTTATACGGGAGCTATGGCCGGTGGTCTCTAGACTTAGTCTTGAACCAGTGGCCTAGATGCTCTGCCCGGCTGCTCCGTACTCCCTGCAAGCACCCCACGGTCCCTTGTACAACAATAAGGCACAGCATGATCGGCTTAGCCAGCTTTCACAGAAAGATGGAAGAGAGGGCAGAGGCTCACGAACGCCAGTCCTTCATTTCGGCATGCTTGCTGCTCAGTGCCCTCAATCGTTTCCGCAGGGCCTGGCGATCAGGAGCAAGAGTGCGTCCGAATCCACTCACTTGCATGTGCAGTACATCATAATGTTCTCAAGGGCTCCAGAACTGGCACCTGAGCCTCTGCGTGGTCTGGATCCAGGGACAAGGCCTCAATCTCATGTACTTTGGCTTCAGTGTAACATATTGCCCCAAAGGGCACATTCCTTCCGCAGTGAGCACTATGTCAACAGTACAAATATTACGAGAATATGTCTCTTCTCCAGCACTGAAAGAATCCTTAAGAGTTCGCCATGTCGAGATCTTGCATTGCACTTTCTGCCCGTACATACAGCAACAACTTCTTGCGTTACGGTCAGGACTCAAGACATGTGCCAGACAAGGATATGATACCTGTGTATATATCGGAAAACATACGTATGTATACAGACAGGTACACTTGAGCAAATCCTACACAATCGCAAAGCAGGTCGTCTTTCTCATGCTTTGTGCCATTCGGGGGTGGCCGGCCTCCTTGAGGAGCCGCTGACCCTGCTCCAAGGGCTCCACCTCAGAATTGCTGCGCGGGCATAATCTGAACCTTCCACATTCACTGTCGGAGAGATCGTCTGGCAGAGGACAGGGGAGGTCGGTGTGACTACACCACATTCTTTGATGAGCATGACTCCGACAGTGTTCTGCATGACTTAATTTCCTTTCGAGCGCCTTTTGCTGGTCGGATCTCATGGATATCCAGCTGCCCACATCACGAGTGCCGGCTTAGTCCGAAGCCCACTGCTTCGAATCTGCAGCCGCGGAGTTGTTTCGGTACAGCGCCTGATGCATTGCCGCTGTACAGTGGCCCAGATCTTGTTCCAGCTCCACTCTCGGTTGCAGCTGATCGGTACCATTTTGGGTCCAAGTGGGCTGGTCTTGAGACATGACCCTTTGCAGGGTACGATCTGCACGCTTAAAACTCGGCCTCTAGTAGCATGTCAATGTCTAGCCCGCGCAGCGCGTCCGTCACTGATCCTCCGTACGCGTTGAAACCCGCACAGGTTTGGACCCACGGGGCCACAGGCCGGGCTATTCATGCTGAGTATGGCATGACAGTTTCAGGTGCTGCAAGGCTGCGAATAGTTACTTGGCCCAGTCCTGTCATCTCAAGATTGTGCCACCAATAGCCAATAATCACAGGAGCACCGAAAATGTCACATCCATCAGGCTATTTACAGTGCTTGTGTGCCTACACGAGAAGCTCGCGCTTCCCGAACCTACGACGTCGTCGCGGTGCACCAGCCGGGCAGCAAATGCCACAGAGCTTCGACGACCAGCTTTAAAGCAGATGGAAAACGTTGATCACCATAAATATCAGGAAGTTGCCACCTGCTCGTGGCTGCACTGCAAGCTCACTATGCAAAAAGATGA